CCCCCGCCGCGCCCCCTGCAGCCCCTAGGGGGTCCTTGACACTCGGCGCTGGACGTTGCCGCCCCCCGTCCCCCTGCGCGACAGCGCCTCGCAGGCTCCGCGACCCTCGGCCTGCACGCCCGGATGCCTCTCCCCGGGGGGCTGTGGTGGCTCCTCTGCTGCCGTCGGGGCTTTACCCTGCTGCACCGCGACTACGGCGACGGCGAGCTCAGTGGGGACGGGGACGACGACGAGACCTTCGAACTGCGCACCCCGAGTCCGGTGAGCGGCGGGCGGGTGAGTACTGGAGATCCGGAGCCTCGGCTCCATCTCCGCGCGTCCCGTGGCGCACCCGACCCTGCCTCGACTCCAGCCAGGCGCGGGGGCAAGGGACAACTCTGGTCGGAGGCAAGGAGCACCCACTCGCGAGGTGCCCGTGGGCCTCGCCTATCCCTGGGCGCTGTCCACCTGCTGGGGGCCCCGGGGCAGTGAGGAGTCGCGCGTGGCCCGACCTGGCCCTGCCCCTCCCTTCCCCGCCGGCTGGCGTCCCATCCCGTCTCCTTCCGCCTCCACCAGCGCCAAGGAATGTGGCGAGGCCGGCCGGGCAGCTCGATCGCCTGGGTCCTCTGCGCTCCCCTTCGGCGAGTGAGAGGCCAGATTCGAGAGCTCCCACTGCGGGGATGTAGGCCAGGGTGGGCTGGCCTCTGAGGACTGGGGTCCACCGCGGGGACCCCAAGGAGAGGGAGCTGGGGGCTATGCTGCCCTGGCGTTGGGAACAGAACTCTCAGGCTTCGCTGGTGAGGCTCTTGGAAAATCCCCGACGGAATGGTGAGGGACACTTGGTTTCTGGGTTCTGGCGAATGTCTTCCAGGGAAACTAAGGCGCCCTGGCATGGGAGAGCTCCATCCCCTGGCTTGCCCTCTCCCATGGCCCGTATACCCTGGCAACCGGACTCCGGTGACCTGTGGCCTTGGCAGGCTCCCCTCCCCCATCAGGGGTCCCCAGCAGGCTCTGTGGCTCGGTGCCCCGGTGGGGCGGGCGCCAGCACCTGGCGAAGCTGAGGGCAGATAAATATAGAGGAGAGGAGGAGGGAAGCAGGGACTGTGACCAGAAGAGCTGGTGTAAGCGGGCGGTCAGTACCTGCCCTGGCAGTGCGTGGCCACCCCTACCCTGACCTCCTGAAATCAGGGACTCAGCTCCCAAGGAGGGCACAGGACCTGGGCGTCCCAGCTCCCAGCCGGTCAGGGTCTGCTCTGTCAGTGTGCCATGGCCTCCCTTGTGCTCCACCTCCACCCCTCCTCCCCAGAGCAGGGGACAGGTGTCCTAGTCCCCCTCCCGCTCCCCCTCCTGGCTTTAGCAGTCTGGGCGCAGTGAGACGGTGGCACAGTTCCTGCCTGGCCTGGTTCCGGTCGCCTTGGAGGCCTCTCTCAGACCCTAGCCTGCAGCTGAAGTTCCAGGCAGGGGGTGAGGAGGGTGCGACACCCAAGGCCAAAAGCCCCCGTTACACCGGGCTGTGCAGCCCGAGCCGTCTGTTCCTCAGCCTGGCCAAGGGGGCGGGGTCCCTGCACCACCACAGTCTCAGGGCTGGGCAACCCAGGGTGAAGAAAGCCAGGCACTGAGGGTCCCTCTTCCCTTCCTCTCTGTGCCCCAGGCGGCAGGAGGGAGTGACTGAGGCTACTGGAGCCCGAGGGCCTCTACCTCTCCAGCTCAAGTGTGGGGGAACTGAGGCCAGGGATGGGTCTGTGCAAGTTCCTAGCTGGCATTCATGGTCTGTGGTGTCTGGGATCCCGGGTGTCCTGACTCCCTGCCCGGCGCTGCACCCACCCCACCGGCCACACTGCACCTCCAAAGGAGGGTCAGAGACCCGCGGAGCGCGCGACCCCACGGCTCAGCTCCCTCCCCGCCTGGGCCGCTCTCCACCCCTCAGCCTCGGAGCAGCGCTGTCCTGAGCACTGCGCAGGGTGGGCTGCGGTCTGAGCGTGCCGCCTCTCTCCCCAGGGTCCCCTGGAGGTAACACTGACTCAGCCTGGGCGGAGCGGGCCAGTCTCGGACAGGTGAGCTTCCCCTCGGCAGGCGACCCCATCAGGTGGCAGAGCCGTGGGACCGGCCCCCGCTGCCTTCCCCCTGGGTTGTGCAATAAGCAGAGGCCCTCACCCTGCCGGACGCTGCGGCTTGGCTGGGGTCCCGGGGGCGGTCCAGCCGGGGCGCTGTGAGGAAGGGGGGGTCCTTGCTATTTCTGGTGCAAGGTCAGCGCGGCCCCACGGTTCCCACAGTCTGGAGGAGGGGTGTCCCGCTTGGGAGCAGCCCCCTTGCCATCTGGGGGGCCCCTGCTGAGCAGCCCCCTGGAGGCCAGTGGAGCCCAACAGCCTGCTTCCCCTGGCCAGGCTGCCGAGCTGGGAGGAGACCAGGAGCCTCATCCCAGAAAAGGGGCTGCAGGAGGACGACCCCGACGTGGTTGTGAAAGGTGCGCCCCCAACCCCAATGTGCGCTGGGGGCCGCGTGTCCCCCGCAGATCGGCTGGGCTGACCCGGCACCCATCCCGCTCCCCAGGCTGGCTGTACCGAGAGCCCCGAGGAGGAGGGCCGCGGCCGTGGCTGCCGCCGCGCCGAGCCTGGTTCGTGCTCACTCGGGACTCCCTGGACCAGTTCAGCGGCAGCGGGAAGGGCGCGAGGCGCCTGGGCAGCCTGGTGCTCACCAGCCTGTGCTCCGTGAGCGGCCCTGAGCGCAAGCCCAAGGAGACCGGTGAGACCCCTGGGGGCCCTCCCACCTGGCCAGCGTGCCCCGCTGGCCCTGATGCCCCCTTGCGCCTCCCTTCCACCAGGTCTGTGGTCCTTGACCGTGTCCGGCCGGAAGCACAGCCTCCGCCTCTGCACCCCTCGCCAGGCCGAGGCGGAGCACTGGGGGGTGGCTTTGCGGGAGGTGATCTCCTCCAAGGCACCCCTGGAGACGCCCACCCAGCTACTGCTCAGGGACATACAGGTGAAGAGGGGGACCCTGAAGATGGGGTGGTGAGAAGGTAAACGCTTCCTGGGCCTCCCTCATCACCTCCACCCTCTTCCTGGCCTCTAGGAGAGTTGCGGGGACCCTGAGGCAGTGGCCCTCATCTACCGGAGGAACCCCATTCTGAGGCACACCAGTGGGGCTCTGTACGCCCCGCTCCTGCCCTTGCCCTACGGAGGGGGTGCCCCAGGTAAGGGTCCCAGGCCCGCCGGTGGGAGGTAAGAATCAAGGGCCTTGAGGGCAGGGCCTACATCAGGGGACTGAGCCCCGCCCCAGCTCCTCTCTTTCCAAACTGGAAGCTGGCAGGGAGGAGGAGGGTGGGAAAGGAAGTCTGAGCAGAAAAAGGCCCCTGTGAGCTCTTCTCTAAGGGGTTCACCCTGACCGCCACTGTTCTTTCAAGAATTTTTACACTGTTCTGCTTTTCATTACACTCTTACTTGTTGATGTTGTTGCACTGGGGATTGAACCCAGGAGTGCTATACACTGAGCTCTGCCCCCCTTTTATTTTGAGACAAGGTCTCCCTAAGTTGCCCAGGTTGGGCACAAACTTGCAGTCCTCCTGCCTCAGCCTCCCAGAGGACTGGGATTACAGGCATGTGCCACCACACCTGGGCATTGTTTAAGTATATACACACCTTTATAGGCAGTGGAAAAACCACCACTGTGACTTTGGGGAGAACTGCTAGCCTCATCCAGCTATATTTCTCCCCAGTGTCCTAGGGGCTGGCCAGGTCCTAAAGCTAGAGGATTAAGGGGAGCTGGGAGCGGAACCTTGGTTTTCTGACTCCCAGACCAGCCTGTTTTCTGCCCTCAGCGACGGTTCTGGTTCTGACTAACCGGTTGGGGACCTGGGGCTCGAACCTAGGTCCCGTATTCTTCCCCTGCATTGCCAGGAGGGGCCTCTGGCTGAAAGTTTGGCTCTTTCAGCTGGACGACTGAAGGGAAATGGGACCATTGCTTTCCCTTCACTCCCCCTGTCCTTCTACCCCCCTCCTCCCACCCCACCCCTTTATACCCCTCTGACCTGCCCCTGGGCGGGCCGACTCCCAGGGCGCAGCTCTCTATCCCCTCTCCCAACCGTCCCTCCGCCCCCGCCCCCCCGTAGGTCCGGGCTACGCACCCCTGCGAGAGGAGGCGGTGCGGCTGTTCCTGGCGCTGCAGGCGCTAGAGGGGGCGCGGCGGCCCGGGCCCCTGATGCAGGGCGTGCTGCAGACCTGCCGGGACCTGCCTGCGCTCCGGGACGAGCTCTTCCTGCAGCTGGCTAAGCAGACCTCAGGCCCCGCGGGCCCCCCGGGGCTCCCTGCAGCGCAGGACCCCGCTGCCCTGCGCTACTGGCAGCTGCTCACCTGCATGAGCTGCACTTTCCGGCCTGGGGGCGCCGTCCGGGGCCATCTCCTGGGGCACTTGGAGAGGTGAGAAGAGCGGCTGCAGGGCCCAGCAGAGGCGCTGCGGGGCGGGGAGGGGACAGCGCTGCAGAGGGAGGGGACGTGCCTGGTCAGGGCCGCGGCGCAGAGCCAGCTCCGCAGTGGGAATTACAAAAGCACATCCCATTGTGAGAAGTGACAGGAGGAAGGCGAAGGCGGGACCCGCTCGGGTGGGCGGGGGCCTGTAACTGGCCGCTTCTCCTCGGGTGCCGGCCAGCCCGGGGTTCAGGAAACTAGTAGTGCGGCTGGATTTGGGATTTGGAAGGCCAACTTTCCAAGGAGGCGGTGGGCGAGGGCAGTAGGGAGAGAACCGCCCCGAGACCTGCGAAGTTAATTCGGGAGCGCGCAGATTCAGGCTGCCTTCAAGGGACTGAGTGGAGGAGGGGGAAGCCGACCCAAGAAGGCTCGAGAGAGAGGAGGCAGGGGAGACTGATCCCTGGACGCCTCCGCGCGCAGGACGGAGCAGGCGCTGCCCGACTCGGAGTTGGCGGAGTATGCGCGCTTCATCCGGAAGGCGCTGGGCCGCACGCGCGGCCGCGAGCTGGTGCCGTCGCTGGCCGAGATCGCCGCGCTGAGCCGGCGGCAGGAGCTGCTGTGCACCGTGCACTGTCCGGGCGCCGGGGCCTGCCCGGTGGCCATCGACTCGCACACTACCGCGGGGGAGGTGAGGCCAGGGGCCGCCCCTTACCCACCCCGTCCTTCCAGCTTCTCCGGCCTGGCTCTCCCGGGGCTCCTCAGCCGCGGTTGCAGACTTCTTATTTCGGTACCAGAGGGAGAGAGTGGGGGTGGAGGACAAACCCCTCCCACTGGCCGAGCCTGTCCCGGGAGCTGACGCTCCCTGGCCCTCTTGCGCCTGCAGGTGGCTCGGGAGCTGGTCGGGCGGCTGGGTTTGGCGAGGAGCCGCAGTGCGTTCGCGCTGTACGAGCAGCGCGGGGCCCAGGAGCGCGCCCTGGCCGGGGGCACCATCGTGGCCGACGTACTCACCAGGTTTGAGAAGTAAATGTCCAGCCCGGCCCCCAGCTGCCCGCAGTCCCCACGCCAGAGTCCTCGAGCCCTCGCCACGTGCTCGCCGGTGCGCGCTCGCGGTTCCGCGCCCCGACACCGCCCCCTACGCGTCCTGTCCTTTCCTCCCCCGCAGCTTGGCGGCCGAGGAAGCCGGGCCGCAGGACTCGCCGGACTCAGGGTGGAGGCTGAGCCTGCGCCTCCACGGACCCCTGCGCCCCGAGGGACTGTCCCCCGACGGCCACCAGCCGCCGTTCCTCTTTGAGCAGGTGAGGCTCGCGGGCAGCCCCGTCTATAAGCAGGCACACCCAGACCCCGGCTTTTATTCATTGCCCCAACCCTCGGGACACCGCCCTGGCGCACTGACGCTGCCCTCCTTGCAGACCCTGCTGCTGCGCGCCCGGCCGGCCCCGCCCGACGACACCTCGCTGCG